TCCAGTTACTTCATATCTGAAATGTGAATGCTGGAATCTAACAGTAAGCTTGTTCTTTTGAAAATTATGGCCAAAGAATCCGTGTGTGTCTCTATATATAAATATATAATTTTTAATGGATTTTGAGTTACCCAGAGCTAAACAGAGTCAGAAATCGCTGAGACATAAATATTACTGTAATGTAAAAATATTCACCATTTAATCCTGATAAATACTGGATTATAGACTTCAGAACACAGACTGACAATTATTGGAAATCATGTGGTCATCTCAAGTATATAGTATTTCAATTAAAATAAAACCATAAAATCCTTTTTCTTTTTTAAAAGTACCATCTAGCATATAATTTATTTGGATGAACTCTACAAATATATGCATTATATCATGCTAGAAGAACTTGAGAACCACTTTTTTCTTGTTCCCAGGGTCTCTTGACTGTTGGTAAGACATTACAGTCATAATGATAGAATCAGTTTACAGTTGCAAATTCTGCCAAATGTCTCACAAATTATATTTGGCAAACAGCACTGCCTCTGTTTCACAAAGATAATGATCTGATGCGTTGTTTATGTGGCACCAAAGGAAAATATTGGTTTAGAGCTTGTGATAGAATTTCAAAAAGTTTGTGTGGTATTCTAAACTTCTGATACACTTAATAGTTACCACTCTATTAAATACAGAGTAACACAGACTTTAAAAGTATCCTTCAAAAAAAAAAAAAAAAAAAAAAAAAAAAAAAAAAAAAAAAACCCCAAACCTGTTCAATTAAATAGGTTGCATCCATTTTATTTCCTCAGTGTTTACCCAGACCTGCATAGCAGCTGCTGTGGATATGCATGCAATACTTTTTATATCTGATGGTGTCGAACATACAGATGAGTTGACGTAAAGGCTGCTCACCTGTACAGGATTTAGTGTTATAGAACTGCTTTTAGGATGTGGTCTGAAAACGATGGTACACAAAGGGAAACACACTACATCAGACTTGAGCTACCTAGAAGCCTGCAGTCAGCAGGCAGTTTGGAAAGGAAAATAGCACAACCTTGACAGTGCTATTCTTTGGATGACTGAGGAGAAAAAGAAAGGAGCAGTGGGTTTGAACTGAATCTGAGACTCTGCTCTAACGCAGGCTGTTTCCTTTCTGTATCCCATGGTACAAACCTAGCTGGTAAAGGCTAAACTTCATTGGGAAATACACTGGGAATTTGTTTTGGCAACAGCATCGGACAAAGAGCAGAGCATACCATACCAGTAGTGGGTCCAGGTGCCCTGACACAGTTGGCACCCGCAGCCAGACTGTCAGCAGGCTCAGCTGGCATGTCCTCGGTCTCCCTGTCTCCTCCACTGCTGGCACAGCAGTGTCCCAGGGTGGTTCAGCCTGGGAACCAGGTGCTATTTCTTGAGTCTGGGAGATGGTCTCTGCTTTGGTTCTTTGTCTACCTGGTCAGATGGGGCAGGCAGGATGTGCTGTGGGACGGCTGCAGGGATGGCAGAGGAGGCATTGCCCAAAAGGGAAGGGCAAGGTGGTGCAGATCACTGACCTCAGCAAAAGGGTTGTCCTGTCCCTGGGCAAGGGGCCAGACCCAAGGCCTTCATCTTGGTGATGGCAGCAAAAAAAAGCCCTGTGCCCACTGGGACCATATCTGCCTTGACACTGACCACCTAGGATGGTTTGGGGAAACTCCTCTGAAGTTTTCTGCAGGAGATGAGCACCAATAGCAGTCCTTCTCCTTGTGTGGCCTGCATCTTTGTGCAGCTTCTTTGGCTGGACTTTTGGGATGGAGGAACAGGGATACGATGGGAAACTTCGCAATAACCATCCCAGGAGAAGCATCTTTTGTGGGAAAACACAGTGAATGTGGGCCCCTTGATTTGAGCTTGAGATGAGAACCAGCGGCTGTTGTTGAGGTTAGGCAGAGCTGTGGCAGTGGTCTTGGCAGGGGAGGTCATGTCCACTGGCCTAGAGCTGGCTGGGGAGTGGATGAGGAGAGAGAGGCTTGCAGGCTTCCAGCTGTGAACAGGTCTCTTGCTGCTCTTCATCCTTTGATGTTTTCCACCAGACATATTAGAGCTGCTTGTACTGTGGCAGCGAAGCCTCCGAATGTTTGTCCAAGGCTGTCATTGGTGGTGAAAATTGGAATGGCCAGCAGAGGGAATTGGAAAGAGGGGAGGCAACTGCATGTAGGGCTGTCCTGCTTCTTTTTCGCTCTCCATGAAGCCTTGCCTCTTCCCTTTAAGGGAAAAGAAGCTGGAAATGTGGGAAGGACGGGATTCATGCAAGCTTGAGATTGTGGAAGGGGTTAGTGGGGAAGAACAGAAAGATGCAGAGGGTGCAAACTCCTCTGATTTTACTGAAAGACTGGAAGGAGGTGACACTCAAACTTGGTTGAGGTTGCACCAGGTTGAGATTAAAAGGGACAGTAAAGTACACAAATACCACGAGCAAGTTAAAGGGGAGGTAACCCCTTCAACTGGCATGTGTGGCTCTTCTGACAGCCCTTATATCTACCTGTCTTGTTACTACAGACTCACTAATGCAAACATAATGAGAACTTTTAGGGGTTTATGGAAGTTTGCTAGCAAAATACTGGCTCCAAGGCCAAATCCTGGCTATGTTTGGGCATGAGAGACTGCAACTGCTAATTAACTAATGCTAAGCTGGCCTTCATGCTGCCATCTAGTGTTTCCTCATAGACAGAAACATCATCTCAAAAAAGAAACTTCAAAGCTTCATAATGCTGTATTCAGAACAAATGTAATTTATTCGTGCTGAAATACAATGCTGGACAACACACAAGCTGAAGGAGAGGGAATGGGGAAGAGACATGCGGAGGACCCAGTGCTCAGGGTGAATGTTTAGGGAGACACCTTTTCTTTAAAAAATTGTAACTATTTCATCCAGGAACAGAGAGAGACATCTCCATGGCAAGATAATTATTCAGAACCAGAATTTGTCCTCATTTGTTTTGCACTCTGTTAATTTAATATGGTTGTTTGCAAGGTGCAACAGTACACAACAGAGCAAGAATCCAAGCAGAAGCTTGTCTTAACCAAGAGAGACCAGCCTAAGAAGCTTGGCAAGTTCTTCTTGTCTGTCGTTGCTACTCTCATAAAAAACACATGGTATGTTTACTTCACAGCCATCAGATGCTGATTTTTCTTTCAAGTATACATGATGGCTAACAAGAGGTAACAAGTTATTGCTGGGGGCACATGCAAAAGATTTGCCTCTTGGCCCTTCAAAGCTTGATCCCTGGCTTTGAGGAGCTGTAACAGGATGCTTTTCCAACTGTTGCACATCCTGGATTCATGCTGGAACTGTAGAACTCTAACCCTAATAATAACAACTCAAGAGTTCATGGGCTGGATGATACAATTACAACAGAGAGAGCATACTTTTTCCCCAAGCTTTTTCAAGGTGTTTTGAGTCAAAGTCCAAAACAAACATGAAGCATCCAAAATCATTGTTCTCTTTTGGCGACCCCGACTTCTGAGCTTTGCTTCCTGACAACCTGAGCAGGAAAGCTGCCAGGAAGGACTGCACAAGTGAAAAATGGCAAAAATCAGCAAATTTAAGAAAACAGACTGCCCAGAAGGAAAGGAAAGCCATAATGAGCAGCCTTTAAAGGGCTCCTGCTGGCATTGTATGAAATCAGGTATGAATTTAGTCATTTGCAGGAAAGTTTTCCCATTTATAATAAAATTTTGGTAGCAATAGAACACACGTGTTTGAACATTATGTATACAAACTGACTGCATGTTCTCAGTGCAGTCATAACACGGCTTATTTAGGCGAAGAGGAATATCAGCACAGCAAAGAACAGAACCAAACTCTTCAGTAGAAAGGACCACATACTTCTCTGCTTACAAATCACCTCTCAAATCAAAACATGAAAGTTGTTTCAGGCCCTTAGGTCTCTCAAAGACCTAGTCCGCAGAACAGAAAGTCCTCAGGTGCGTAATGGTATAGTCCATGTATGTCATTCATACTACTGCTGTTTTTTCACTGAGAGAACAAGTACATCCCAATCCCACCAAACAGACCCTACTGCTGGATTAAGGCATCATTATTCTTCCTCTCCAGCTGTTGGTACAAGGCTGTAACATCCATGTAGGTACCAAAAGCTTTCTCCTAAACACACTGAACAAAAAAGCAGCCTTTCTTTATGCTTAGCGGGCTTTGAATTCAGACCCAATAGAGTTGTGTGCTCTGAATATAGGGCTTTTATTTTCCAAAGCTGTCATTTAACGCTTATTGCTGTGGAAGGAAGTCACATTCTCTTCCAGTTCCTTGTTCTTCCCTTTCCATTGAGTCATGGTTGACACTCAGCAAGGATAAGTGAATGAAAAATGAATGAAAAAAAGATACGCTTCAGCTCTCTTCCAAAGTGCTCAGGATATCTGCATATTAAAAAAGAGCAAGAGACTCTTGTTTTACAGCTTCATCTCCAAAGAACCCATCTGAGAACATTACGGGGCAAAGGCTTGAAAACCAAGAGCACGTGTCTAAGCAGTCTTTTCGGGATCTGCATCATCTGCTTGTTTACAAAGTGGCCACATGCTTGCTGGTGTGGGATATGGGGCCCACACATCAATGGCTGTACAGCTCCAAAAATAACCAATTCCCCATCCAGCAGGGAGAGACTGCCGTTGGGGCTCTGGCATCGGGGTTCACCCACTGCTTTTACTTCACGGGGAAGTGGGTGAGGACTTTATAGATAAAACATGGGCCAAAGCCACAGGAATCAGCACAAAGCCTGTGGGGGACATGCCATGGTCTCTGCTCTCCAGTCCTCTGCCAACCAGTTTAAGTGGGCTGATATTTTTTTTTAACTCTTTTTCTGTAAATTTTTTTAAGAGAGTTTTTGTCTAAATGTGCAAAAGAAAATTTATTATTTCTTGAGGAACAAATTTCCTCCCGCACCCACACAACTTCATTTCTCTCCCTCCTCCTCTTCCAATGACAGATTAAACATGCCAGTGGGAAGCTTGCACAGCTCCAGCATTGGGTGGATTTTTTTTTTTTTTTTAAATCAAAAGGTACAAGTTCGGTTGTTCTTATCTTCTCAGTTTTAGGGACAGAGATTTTGCCCTTCAGGCAAGCTAAATAAATAGGAAGGACATCAAATTCAGTATGTTGTTTGTCTCATGATTCACTATAACATTTCCCTAGTACCAGGCATGGCCGCCTCCCGAATAAGCAGAGTTAAAACTTTCCTGTAGGTGTCTAAGATCTCTTGGGCAGAAGGCCTTTCAGCCGGGTCCTTCTTCTTACATGCTGCATGGATGTCAAACAAATGCAGTCGCACAATGTCACTTCCTTCTACGTGGCCCAAGAAAAAATTGGAGACATCTGGGATTTTCCAGATGTCTGTTTTCTCATCATAGGGGGGCATGAGGTCATCCTCGAATGGCACTTCTTCTCCATAGGGCCAACGCTGCTCAGGAGCCACAAACTCGCCCCGGAGCTCCCGATGACCGCACTTCACCAGCCTGCCGGCACTCCTGTTCACAAGAGGCAAAGCGTCCAAATCATTCACCAGGATGTGAAAGTCACTTGTAAGGAGATACTGAGAGAGGACCTTGTCCAGGTCATTTGAGTCGCACATCACTAAGGTGCCCAGAGGGCTGCTGTGCAGGTACCGAATGATGCTCACGTAGTCTATAGCAAGCATCAACCTGCGATGCCAGGTGTTCATGCCCTTGTACTTGGGGATGTGGAGAGTTTCATTCAGGCCCCTCAGGGAGCCTAGAGGATGGTATTCGGTGAGGATTGTGAACTGCTGCTCACAGTAGCCAAGGAGCCGGACAACGTGCTTGCTTTGAAGTGCTTTCAGCATCTTCAGTCCGTGGAGAAAGTCCTCCTTCAGCTCTGAGTTGGTGAGCTGTGAAAGGACTACTTTGTTTTCCTTCCACTCAGAAAGGAAGACCTGAAAACACACAAGAGACACGTAAGACACGTGGAGAGCCTTCTTCCACTGCCGCTGACCTCCGAGTGACTGCTTAGTCACAACGGCAAGTAACAGTCACCAGGCACAGTCAAGCCTTTGGGTAGGACCATGTACCTGTCACAGCAAGCCCTTACCGACGTCGTAATTACATCACAATTTCCTAAGTTTTCTTTGGAATGAGCAATGCAGATGAATTAAATTATTTCATACCACCCAACCAGCCAGTCTTACTCCACCACTATTGCACCACGCTCCACAAGCCCTTCACTGGTCTCTGTGATTTTTATTGTATAGCTGGATGTCATTCAGTGTCAGGGAGGTGGCCCATGGCTCCAGTCACGCTCTCCTACCAGTTCTGTGCACCTTATCAGTAGCCATATGCCCCTGGATATCTACAGTAGTTAGCTGCTGCGAGGATTATAACAGCAGTATAGGCATTAATTAGCCAGCAAAAAGTGAAAGCTCTTTATCCACAGGAGAGAAGAAGGGAAAACCAAACTCACCTTTTTCACAGCGCCTTCACCAACACACTTGAGTTTCCTGACTTCCCTATTTATGGTTTCACAGGAGAGCCATGGGGAACAATTCTTCACCGCTCCCAATTTGAAGTACCCGAAAGAGCAGAGGCCGGGGTCCGTTTCGGCGCGTCCCGAGGAGATGTAGAACTTGTTGAGGTACAGGTAGAGAAGGGCATTAAGGAGCAGGACGGCCGCGAGCAGTAACGCCAATGAGACAGACGACACCTCCCTGGGAGGAAATTCCCTCCTAACGAAGTGCGGTTTCTTTTCCATGGCCGTGCCTTCTGCATTCTCCATGAAAGATGGAGGCTAAGCAGGACCCTCTTCCCAGCCCAGGGATTTTTCATTGCAGGCTACACAGCTGCCTCGCA